GGAAAGCGGCGCCGTTCACGGCCGTGCTCAGACAGCACGGGCTGCTGCTCTAATAAACCCAAACTGGGACGGACTGGGACGGACTGGGAGCCTCCGCGTCTCACTGGGACCGACTGGGAGGGACTGGGACACACTGGGACAAACTGGGACACACTGGGAGCGCCCGGGTCTTACTGGGACTGACTGGGAGTGTCCGGGTCTTACTGGGACACACTGGGACACACTGGGAGGGGCTGGGATTGACTGGGACACACTGGGATTGACTGGGATGAACTGGGACAAACTGGGAGCCTCTGCGTCTCACTGGGTCTTACTGGGACACACTGGGAGGGGCTGGGATTGACTGGGACACACTGGGATTGACTGGGATGAACTGGGACAAACTGGGAGCCTCTGCGTCTCACTGGGTCTTACTGGGACACACTGGGAGGGACTGGAACAAACTGGGACACACTGGGAGCGTCCGGGTTTTACTGGGACACACTGGGAGGAACTGGGAGCGCCTGGGACGAACTGGGGGTGTCTGGGTTTTACTGGAACACACTGGGAGGGGCTGGGATTGACTGGGACACACTGGGATTGACTGGGATGAACTGGGACAAACTGGGAGCCTCTGCGTCTCACTGGGTCTTACTGGGACACACTGGGAGGGGCTGGGATTGACTGGGACACACTGGGAGCCCCCGGCTCTTACTGGGCCACACTGGGAGGGACTGGAACAAACTGGGACACATTGGAGCGCCCGGGTCTTACTGGGACTGACTGGGAGTGTCCGGGTCTTACTGGGACACACTGGGACACACTGGGAGGGGCTGGGAAATGAGCACCGGGCGATCTGGGCGTGGTTTTTGAGTTTTTATTGGGCCGGATTAATAATTGTAATATTAATAATTATTAATTTATTGGGGTGGGGGTGGGGGAGGTGTGGGCAACACCAGAGCAGCCGTGGTCACCCCTGGGGTCACTCCGGTGTCCCAGTGGCCACTCTGGGGTCACTGGTGTCACTGGTCACTCTGGTGTCACTGGTCACTCTGGTGTCACTGGTCACTCTGGTGTCCCAGTGGCCACTGGTCACTGGTGTCACGGGTGTCCCAGTGGTCACTCCGGTGTCCCAGTGGTCACTCCGGTGTCCCCGTGGTCACTCTGGGGTCACTGGTGTCACTGGTGTCACTGGTCACTCTGGTATCCCAGTGGCCGCTGGTCACTCGGGTGTCCCATTGGTCACTCCGGTGTCCCCGTGGTCACTCCGGTGTCCCCGTGGTCACTCCGGTGTCCCATTGGTCACTCGGGTGTCCCAGTGGCCACTCCGGTGTCCCAGTGGTCACTCCGGTGTCCCCGTGGTCACTCCGGTGTCCCCGTGGTCACTCGGGTGTCCCCGTGGTCACTCCGGTGTCCCATTGGTCATTCGGGTGTCCCAGTGGCCACTCCGGTGTCCCCGTGGTCATTCGGGTGTCCCCGTGGTCACTCCGGTGTCCCCGTGGTCACTCCGGTGTCCCAGTGGCCACTCCGGTGTCCCCGTGGTCACTCCGGGGTCCCCTCCCGGCTCTGTCCCCAGGTCGCCACCCCGAGCTGTTCGCGAGCCTCCTCCAGCAGCCGCGAGATCTCCTCGCTCTCGGCCAGCGGCATCTCGGGGCTCTCGGTCAGACCTGGGGGGACAGCCCGGGCTCAGCACCCCCAAAAACCCC